TACAAAGGTGTTGGAGCTCCTTTGTGAAAAGGCTGTAACACCAAATTCAAAGAAGGAAAACTAACAAGGAGACAAGGAGCAACGAGCCTACTGTAAGGAGTTGGGGCACTGGCGAAAGGACTGCCCAAAGGTAAAGGCAAAACTAGACTTCCTTTTCACCGTCAGGACCTCCTTTATTTTCTTCCAAAGGAAGCTATCCATGTAAACTAAAAGGCAGAAGATTCTAAGAAGTATGAGATTTAGAGAGGATGTTAGAGGAGTAATGAGTAAGTGCAAAAATGGTTATATGAAAGTGAACACTCCAAGGGCCACTGAAGGTGGTACGGCTGGTGCAGTCATGGTAACGAGCAAAGTGTATTACTTAACAATGAGATAAAAGCATTTAGTGTTGAGATATTAAGCTCATTCTAAGATTGTCTGATCTCCTGTGGTGTGTTATACTGTGGAGACAGAGCCAAAGAGGTAAGAGCCAAACCCAAGAGAGAGACCTATGAACTACAGTTACTACAGAGACTCAGATTCTATGGAAACAATGCCTGGATCCGCTTATTGCCCTGACAAAAGCCCTCAAGCTAGCCCAAGGTAAGTGCATAAACATCTATATTGATAGCAGATATGCCTTTGCCGCCACCACGCATGTCCATAGGGCTATTTATCAAGAAAGAAGGTTACTAACCTCAGCAGGACAAAAGATTAAAAATGCTCCTCAGATACTAGACTTATTGGCAGCAATGTGGCTGCCTGAAAAGGTGGCCATAATACACTGTAAGGCCCACCAAAAAGGAGATAATCCTGTGGTAAAGGGAAATAACTTGGCAGATGCAGCAGCCAGGGAAGCTGCCTTAAAATCAGTGGGGACTGAGACTGTGCTTGCCCTATTGCTGATGCCTCCAACCTTGTCTGGACCTGTGTACACCAAAAATGACCTCTACTTGGCAACCCAGCTTCAAGCAAAACCTGACCTCCCTGGGGGTTGGTACCAATCACCAGACAAAGAGTTCTATTGCCAGAAGCACTTGGCCGAGAACTCATCGGACAAGCACACCAAGCCACCCACTTGGGAGGAACAAAGCTTGCAGAACTTTTTCGGGAGAAATTTTTTATTACTCTGCTGATGAAATTGACACAAGCTGCAAGCCTTAAGGGCCCTCTGTGCCAACTGGTAAATGCCAAACGACAACTTTATATGGAGACCAAATGTTTCCTTGGAGCCATCCCAGGAGAACATTGGGAGATTGACTTTACAGACATAAAAAGCCTGAACTGCAGGGGCATAAATACCTCTTAGTAATGATTGACACCTTTACTGGTTGGGTAGAAGCTTTTCCAACCAAGACAGAATCAGCTCTCATTGTACTAAAAAAGCTCCTTTATGAGATTATCCCAAGATTTGGCCTGTCCATATCTATGGGGTCCGACAACGGTCTGGCTTTTATAGCCCAGATAACTCAAAAATTGACACAGACATTACCGATTAATTGGAAACTCCATTGCACGTACTGACCTCAAAGTTCAGGACAAGTAGAGAGGACAAATCAAACTTTACAGACTATGATAACCAAGTTGTCTCTAGAGACTGGAGAAAACTGGGTAAGTCTCCTTCCATTTGCCCTCCTACATACCTGCTGTACCCCCTACATGGCCGGAGTGTCACCTTTCGAGGCACTCTATGGGAGACCTCCGCCACTCATTCCTATGATCTCTGAGGAGAAACTGGCACATTTAACTAACCAAGATCTTATTAAGTCCCACCAGGCACTCCAGCTGGTTCTGTCCTCTATCCACCACCTATTCAAATTAAGACTCTGAGCCCACAGCTGAACCAAGGGCACTTGTCCTCATCAGGCATCATCATCGAAAGTCTCTTGAGCCTCGCTGGGAGGGACCTTTCACTGTGATGCTTAGCACCCCCACTGCAGTGAAGGTGGCCGCTAAGATTCCTTGGATTCACCACTCCCACATCAAAGTAATTCAGGCCACAGACAAAAAAGGCATCGAGTCATCCCAAGATAAGTGGACTATACAAAAGACTGGTAACCCCCTAAAGTTAAAATTAACCAAATGTCCTTAATTGTTCTGGCTATTATGACTCAAATTGTAACCTGTTTTATTTTCATAACTTTCTCACTAGGGGTAAACCATAACTCAAATTATGGGACATGGGTCATTACTATTTTACAGGAAGAAAGTTAGTCTCAAATACAACAGTCCATGGGATTATATCATTGGATCCTTGTGTTCTACTTGGTTCAGACAACATAAGAGAGGTAGACTCCCTATGGGGATGGCAATGCATTTTGGGGGTTGGAAAATCAACATGAGAAAGCAATTATGTGGGACTACAAAAGGTCAAAAGACTTTACAGTCTACACCTTGGTATCTATGCCCTCATGCAAATTCAATAGTGGACTGGCCAGCAAGACAAGTCAAATATTTCAATGATTATTGCTCAAAGAATCCAGAGAGTGAATTCTTTTGCCCATACTGGGGCTGTGAAACCATTTCCAACTGGAATGGTCCAGATGCCAATATGAAATGGTTCCTTCTTAAACAATAAACCAAAGATTTGGCTTATTGCCTTAAAATCAGCGGGGAATGTTGTAACCTGCTAACCAGTTCCTTTTGCAGCCTTGCTGTTCTGTAAAGCACCGAACCTTCCCCATCCCCAACTGCTCCATAAAAGATGATAAAATTGTTTGTCCTGATGGAAACATCTGTTCCAAGAAATGACCCACCACAAAAAACCACAACCTTGTACTTATGTTAAAAACATGTACGTACGTAAAAAGCCCCCAGGTCAAGCTGTACCCAAAACTATGCTTGAGAGCTTTCCAAAGGACACCCACCAACACAACCACCCCCCTCACTTTGCTGTTTTTGCCTTCAAAAGTTTCAGACTCCTTCGCTTCGGGTGCTCAGTCTATTAACTGCCTGACTGACACCGCTGGGTACCAGCTAAAATAAAGCACTTCTCTTTTTCTATTTTTTCTGTCTTGTTGTTTTTGAGAGTTGCCGAAGGGGCATTAGGGGCGGGGGACCACTCTTGGAGTCTTGAGGTGCCACACTCTCTCCATACAGCATCTTGTGGTCATCTGCTACCATTCTGTTGTGCCATTGTGCTTATGTTTAAGTAACCTTTATTTTAACTAATAATGGCCCCAAGGCACAAGAGTAGTGATGCTGGCAATTCAGATATGCCAGAGAGAAGCCATAAAGCACTTCCTTTAAGTGCAAAGATGAAAGTTCTTTACTTAAGAAGGGCAAACTTGTATGCTGAAATTGCTGTGACCTATAGAAAAAACAAATCTCCTATCTATGAAATTGTATGGAAGGCAGATAAATAAGGGCTAGTTTTGCTGCCCAGTTGAACCTGAGTAACGGGAACCTGGAAAAGTGAAACTTGGGGGAGGGGGGCTCCTGTACTGTAGCACCTCTTTTAAGTACTTTAGGACAGTAACTACAGAGGGCCTAGCAGAGTAGGCACCCACTAAACACTGGCTTCCTTTTTCCTGAAGAACTTACTTTCTTGATTTGGTCACAAAACTAGCTCTACTTTCAAGACAATCTGAATGGCAAACACTCCCATAAATGATAATACCAGCTAAGCATGGTGGTGCTTCCAGCACTCTGGGAGGCTGAGACAAGAGGATCACAAGCGTGAGTCCTGCCTGAGTAACTCGCCTATTTAGCAAGATCCTAACTCAAAATAAAAAATTTAAAAAGGGCTGAATATAGAACTCAGTGCAAACACCTTGGGTTCAACTCCAGAACAGCAAATAAATGAATATATAATAATACAGAGGGCCAAGTGCCATTAATGACACAAGTCATGAAAAATCAATTTAATATAGTTGAGTTCGTGGCACACACTTATAATCCTAGCCGCTCAGAAGAATGAGACAGGAAAAAGATTCTATCTCAAAATAAAAAGTAAACAGGGCTGGGGATGTAGCTCACTATTAGAGCACTTGCCTAGTATGCACAATGCCTGGGTTCAATCCAAAACACAGGTTTTGCTTCCATCTGGGTAAACAGGTGCCCGGGGGTCACTGACCACAATGGAGTATGGTCAAATAAACAAGAACATCCACCCCAGGGGATCTCAGGTACGGATGACACAACAAGCACCAAACACACCCATCAGAAACGGCTGTGTAGCTCCTACTGCTTTAGTAGAATTATAAACCATTCGGAACTGTTACTGCATCTCCTTGAGAATAGACTTAACTCTCTTACAAGTTTTTCCCTTGCCTGCCCCACACACACCCCACTGTCTGTAGGTGAGCTGTAGGTGCCCCACACACACCCCACTGTCTGTAGGTGAGCTGTAGGTGCTGCTGAACTCTCTGTCACCTTGTATGAGTCACCAACTCATTGTGCTAGAGAAACACTAAGTCAGAAAGCCTTCCTGAAAGAAGCTATAATCGCTTCAGAAACAAAGTAAAACAGAATGACAGAAACATGGGTGGGTCCTTCCAGACTCAAAGCAGGCAGGGAAGAAAGAAAAGGAAGACTCTGTGGGGTACAGCTGAGGCCACGGCAGCAGACAGACACAGCTTCTGATGCCCTCTGATCTTCAGAAAAATACTATGCTGGTTTCTCCATCAGTGAAAATTAAACAGGTGCACCAAGGAATTACCACTGTAACTGCTGAGAAAGGTGTGTAGAAATCTCAGGAACGACCGGCCAGTTATGCTGGGGCAGAGTCCGGGAGACCCAGACAGAAGGTTCAAAAGTTTGAACCCATGCTGCTGGCACAGCACCTGCTTGGCAAGCACAACGTTCTGAGTTCAATATCCAGTACCAAAAACAGAAAAGTTCAAGCCCAGGCTGGGAACTTAGCAACTTCATGAGACTCCGCCTCAAAATAAACAACGAAAAAAAGGGCTGAGGGTGTAGTTCAGTACGAAGGCCCTGGCCCACTCCAGGCTTGGCTTTAATCTGAGGTAGGAGGGCGAGGAAGGCTATGTTGTAGCAGAAGAATTTCCATGAATACTTACTTTAAGAGAACCACAAGCCCGAGGGAAATACGTCATACAAGCCTTCATTCCTTCCAGCGCTGACTGCGCACACTGTGGGAAAAGAGAACGTCACACAGGAGGGCGCTCCCCGACCCCACACCTGTCCATCTTACCACCATCCTGAAAGTCCCTCTCTACAGTGCGCAGTTTGGGCCCTTCCTCTTCCTGCCTCCCTGATTCTATTCCCCACTGGCTTCCACTGTATGATCTAGCCCCGACAGCACGAAGGAGTCGTCACAGGGTAGAGGACCGGTAAGGGTCTCACCTCTGGTCTGAGGCCCAGCAACGACGTGAGAAGGCCAGGGAGGTGGTTGACAGAGATGTCCCGAGACAGTGCAGGAAGCTGGGCTGCGTATCGGAGCAGTTCCTTCAGGACAGCCACAGCCAACTCCATGGTGGGTGGAGGATCCTGGGACTAAGCAACAACAGCCCTGCTGCCAACCTCACCTTCACTGTCACTGACAGGAGGGACTGGAGGCACAACAACATGAGGCTTTTGAGAAACACGGGGTTAAGGTCAACAGCACCATCAAATCCACTATCTCTACAGAAAAAGCACAGAAAACATGTTCTGAAAGGAATGTATTTGTCTACAAAAAAGACAGGTGTTCAGGATTAAAGGTGTCTAGGGTCCCAGGAATTTTGGAAAAAAAAGAAACAAAGCTGCAACTCAAAGAGCAGGCTAGCTGGAAGATCTAAGGGTTTTCTGATCCTCTCATCCTCTCTTTGCCAGCTGTCAACGGAGAAGGGCACTTTTCAGACTGAAAACTAAATCTAGGCCACAATAAAACTGTTCCCTCCCTCCAAGCTTGCTTTGAGCAGACTCACCCTGCCCTCCTAATCACAGATGACTGGTGGGGTTGGACATAGAAGGAAAAGTAGTATTAACTCAGGAAACAGCACTTGCCATGTGCCACATGCCAACAAAAGAAGATACTTATTTAAAAAAAGCAAGCAGGGCCAGGGATGTAACTCAGCAGCACAAGCACCTGCCTGGCAAGTGCGAGGTCCTGAGTTCAATTCCTGGCACCAAAAAAAAAAAAGCCAGAGAACCTATAAACTAAAAACAGGCCCTCAACAGTGACCGGCAATTCCGCGGTTCTCTGTGGCAAATTCTTTGCTACTCAAACCTTCTCTGTCACTTCTAAGTCCCAATTCCTCCCACCACTGCTACCTCTGTGTGGCCTTGCCTACGAAAACTGAAGCCACCTCAGCTTGCTTCTCTGTCCAACTGTTCCCATTCTCTTTCTTCTCCTTTACCTGACCATAAAGTACAGAGCACCTTAAAACTCCAGTCATACGGGATTCACCTTGATATATCATCCTCATCCTCAATTTAACAGCTAACTAAGATTCCTTTATAAACCAGCTGAACAGCCAAGTGTGGTGGCACACATCTGTACCTCAGCACTCTGCAGGCTAACGCGGGGCTCACCACAGGCCAGTCAGAAACACAGAGACTCTGTCTCCAGAGAAAACAAAAAGGTCGGCTGGAGCCCCACCCGCCCATGGCTCCATGGACACCTGGACACCTGGTCACCTCCAGCAGAGCACACTGGGGATTTTCACTGCAAGGCTTCTGTGGAAATCCGAGGGCCACCCTCGTGGTGGTATTTTCCCCCAACCCCTCTGAGCCTGGCTCTCGTACAGTATTCTGAAGGCCACAAGTCACACGAGTGATACCCTCTCCCTAACACTAATCAGGATCAGTGCTGCCTCCTCTGCCTCTGTGTGTCTCCCAAATCTGTTTCTTTCACGTAGTTCTCTTACCGCCCTCGTCCAAAGTACCACGAATGCTCTCCATCACTTTAATAACCTTCTACAGTCTCTGCTTTCACAACAGCCAGAGTGATATTTTCAAATGAAAAATGATACTGCATTTCCTTGTCACTGCTGCTATGGGTTGTATGTACTCCCCCAAAATCATGTTATGATGAAGCAACAAGGCCCTTAGCAGATGCCACCCCCCATATTGCACACCCCAGATTCTAGACTTCTGATGACACCTACTGAAAATCTCTGATCCACTGCTCTGAAAATAAAAACCAAAATCCTTAGCATGTCTGAAAAGACCATACCTGACTAGCTCCCCATGCTGCCTAACGTCAGCTCTATGTCTACCTAACCCTTAGCCAAATGGCCAAGCTCCTGGTCTGTCAGAGCTGGTGCACTCCTAGAACACTTTACAGCCATTTAACTACTGACCAATTTATGAAAGCTCTCCCTGAACCCTGATCCCAATCTCCACTACCGTGCTCCAGACAGGATAGATTCTTCAGATACATGCTGCCAAGCTACACTCTTAGCTACCACAGAACCTGCTTCATCTTATCGGCTCACAAACACATTTATCTTTACTTAAATGAAGTACCTTCCATCAAAACAAAAATCACCCAACTATGGACAGTGAGTACCTATTTTTGCATGGTCCACAGTGTGTGGTTAGAATGGGTCTTTTTTTTTGCTTGAGACAGGGTTTCCTTATGTAGTTCAGGCTAGCCTTGGACTCAAGACAACCCTGCTTCAACCTCTTGAGTGCTGGGAATACAAGCATACACCACCACGCCCAGCTGACTGATAACATATATTTACATATTCTACATGTATTTTTTTGTACTGGAGATCAAAATCATGATTTCGTGTTTGCCAGGCAGATACTATGCCACTGAGCTATATCCTCGGCCTCATTTTTGTATTTTTAAAAGAATGGAAAACAGTATGCAGAAACCATGTAGTTCATGGTCTAAAACATTTGTTATCTGTAAGCAAGCACTTTACAGAAAATTTCCCAACTTAAGCACTATGACAACAAGGTCCCTGGACATCTTACCACTGTGCCTGGAACTTAACACACAGCTGGCTCCTTGAGCTCAGAAAACGCTCATGAAGTAAGTGAAGAGGTCATCAATGTAAAAACATAAGGGAGCATGGATTTTAAATGTTAAAAGAGAAATGAACCCAAACAAAAGAACTTAGACTTATCACTCATTAGAATGAAGAAGTGAAGCTATCTAAGGTCACAGCATGTACAGTCAGATGAACTGAAACAAGTCAACAAGTGAAAACATTAAAAAGTTCAAAGCGATGTTTCTATGTGATGATTTAAAAGTTCAAAAGGTCCCAGCACTTGGGAGGCAGAGGCAGGAGGGTCCCCACAAGTTCAAGGCCAACCTGCATTAGAGGTGAGACCGTGTCTCAAAAAAAACCCAACAAAAGTTCAAAAAAATGTTACTATTCAAAACTTATCCTCTCACTATCAAGAAATTACCGCTAGGGGCCAGGAACATAGCTCTGCAGCGCAGCACCTGCCTGGCAAGCCTGAGATCTGAGTCAGCTGTCGGTACAAAAAAAACAAAAAACCTAACCTTTAATCATTCTATTCTCAGAACTAAAAGTCCAAGCCACAAAGAACAGAGCAGTGCTACGATGGGGGACTGAATGGGGAGGTAGGTAGTGATAAACGGTAAAACCCTTACCTGCAATACCTGCTGAATGCTCCGAAGCCAGGAGACACAGTGCTGCTGGAACATGTCCGTGGGACTCTCCCCCACCAGTAGGGACAGCAGACACAGGCCCTCGAACCTGACAACCAGGAAGAGTAACACCAAGAGTAATACCAATACCTCACAAAAAAGCCGGGACTGTGCGTTCATTCTTGATGGGCCACAGTGAAACTTGACCCTAAGACTCGCTGTGATTCCTTCCCTCCTGAAACACCAGGAGCAACAAGAAAGGAAGGGAGCAGGACTAATCCCCAGTGGAAAACACATAATTTAGGAGCTGCAAAGAGTGTGTTTGATTCAGGTGAGCTCACAAAAGAATGAAACATCCAACCCTCCTGAGAATTCAGAAATCTCTTGAACCCATGGAGGGGTAACAATGGAGAGACAGATGCACATACAGCCCAGTTCCTAATGGAACATCCCCCTGGGGAAAAATGCTGTAAGACTTACCGAGTTTTCATGGAACTGAGACAGGCATTACTGAGATTCACTAACGCCCCAACAGCAGAAAGGTTCTGCAAGAAAGAAAACAGCAATGAGCCCAGAATAGGACAGCAGAGACAGAGACACAATTCTCCAAACTCTCCCATCCTGGTGCCTGCAAAGCCTTTCTGAAGTTATACCTTCTCTGAGGTCAAAGGTTAGCCCTTAAGGCCTTTAACCCCTTTCCTTTTTCCCTATGACTAACAAACCCAGTAGCCTGTCCATCAACTGCTCAAGTTCTAGCTTGCCTGGCCCCATCTCCCATGTCCTACCTCACAAATCAGAGCTAACAGAGGAGGGCCAAAATTCTACAGGTCTGCTTCACTTCTGCAATGCTAGACAGCACCATGCATAGAGAAAAACACCCAGAAATGCTTGAATGGACACTGAACTCTTCCCTACCCTTCCTTCACCCCTAAAAAAATCTTCCTCTTTCTAATCCTACTCTTGGCTTCCCTACTCCCTACTCAACCGGAGTCCTCCCTCCAATTCTCCCTTCTCTCATGTGCAAGAGGCCCCAGGAAAGAAGTGTCCTCACCAGCTCTCCCCAAGTAACCTCCCTGTCACCTGAAGGACCAGACTCCTCTGATGGTCTTCCACCTCCCTAATGGCTTGTGCCCCTTATCCTTTCTGAACAGTTATTTATGCAAGGGGTCAGGCAAAGGAAGACAAAAATAAGTAAGTAAAATAAATAAGATCCCTCCTCTGCTCTGATGGAGGGAAAGTCATTCATTTACTCAATAAATATATACTTAACACTTACTTCCTGGGAGACTTTGTTTTAGGTGCTGAGGCATACTTTCTAGCTAGAGGAGACAAAACATAAACTGATGACATATATACAGATTAAGCATTCCTAATCAGAATGCCCAAAATCTGAAATGCTCCAAAATTAAAAACATTTTGAACGCTAATATGACACAAATGGAAAATTCCACACTTGACTTACTATGACAGTATTTATCAACACACAGGTGCACGAGTTTGTTCATTGTCTGAGAGAAAAAACCCTAGCAGCCCCCTTCAGTTGTGATCTATCTTCTCCGAATGCTTACCTTATTCCTTTGTACAAGCCTACCAAAAAGCGTAATAAAATGCAGGTGTGTGGATTAGTCAATGGCAGCTTTCTCACAATGCTGTACAAAAGACCAAGACCTGTGTGGATTATTCACTGTTTTCCTGGTTTGTTTTTGCTTGTTTTGCATTATGAGATATACAGATACTGTTGAAGATGTCAAAAAAAAAAAAAAAAAAAAAAAAAAAGGTTATACCCCTGTGGGTATACTGATTAAAAAAGCATGCATGTTTCCCTCTAGCACAAGCCAATGAGCATGATAGTAGTGATAATGAAAATATGTGAAGGGTACTTGCCAGGCAGGCACTGTATCACTGCCCCGAGGTCCCTGTCCCCAACCCCAGTCACAAAAACAAACAAAAACCCATCCAGCAGCATGCCTCAAGATGGGCATGGTGATACCTGCCTGTAGTCCCAGCTCTCAGGGACGCTAGCAGGATTGCTTTGAATTTGAGTCCGGCCTGGGCTACACAGTGAGTTCAAGGCCAGCCAGCACTGCACAGCAAGACCTTGTCTCAAGAAAATTTTCAAAATTAAAAAACAGAATGCCTCCTCAAACTCAGAGGACCTAATTCCTGGTGAGAGATACAGCTCATTATCAAGGGCCTTGATCCAATCCCTAGTGCCAAAAACAAACAAACAACAGTAGACAAGGAGAGAGTCCTTGGGGACTCAAACAAATAATAATCAGAGAAGTGGGACTCAGCCTTTACTCGAAAAGACTGGCAAGGAATGTCTAGTGTAATAAAGACAACTCAGAGTGGTATCGCAAAACCCAAGGGAAGACAGGTTTTGTTTCTTGTCATACTCAGAATCAAATCCATGGTCTTGTATTGAACAAAACCCCCATTCCTTTTTATTTATTTTGAGACAATCTTGTTAAGGCTAGAGGCCAATTTGTAAATTTCCTTTTTCAGTGGCCTGAAGAGCTGGGATTACATGTGAGTATCACTAGGCTCAGCTTTAAAATAATGTTTAAAGGAAGGAATGATCAACTGTATCAAATGATACAGATGGGTCAAATAACATGAAACCTCAAATTTGACCATGAACTTCTTTCTTTTTTGGGAATTGGGAAGGGTGGAGCTTGAAACCAAGGCAAAGTTGGATAGGAAGGAAACAAACTGACAAAATGTGGTTAAATTTGGATGATAGAAACAGCATAGGATAATGTGGTTTGAAGTATTGGTGTGTGCCTGAAATTGCCTCTAAAGTTTTTGGCAATTATATTCAAAAACATATATAAGCGCAGTTGTACAAGTATGGGTAAAGGAAGTTGTATATAATGTATGTATAAGAAAATTCTAAAAAGTGTGGAATAGGAATCAGTTAAATCATAGGTGATCAGCAAAGTTTTCCTAGAGGCATTAACAAATATGCAGAGAATTGGAGGGGTCTAGGAGGCAGTTCAGGAAAGCATTCCAAGCAAAGAGCAAGCATAAAAACTTTGAGAAAAACAAGTCCCCTTCTACCTGCCACCACCATACCCTAACTAAAGAAACAAAAAAAATTTTTTGGTATTTTTTGAGACAGGGTATCACTATGCATTGCACGCTGGTGTCGAGCTCACAACGATCCTCCTGCCTCAGCCTCCCAACTTTCGGGATTACATCCGCCACCACACCTGGCAAGGATTTTTAAAAGCAGCAAGTAGGACTTCATTGTAAAAAGTTCAGTTCAGTTACTGTGCAGAGAACGGTGTAAGAGGACAAACTATGAAGAGACCAGTTCGAAGATTATTACCGTAATCCAATATAGAAACTGCACTGAGGCTGGACACCGTGGTGCACACCTGCAATCTCAGCACTTGGAAGGCTAAGGTAGGACGAGATCACCACCATGAGATCACCAGTAAAAGCCTGGTAAAATTTACATTTTGAATACGTTCACTAACCCTGTGAAAATTATCCCTAAAACAAATTATCTCCAGAAAGAAAGAGGCTGAAGATCATTTAGCTAACGAGTGACCTGGCCTTTAACTAAATATATTCCTGAGTACCTACCTGCCTAAAAATAGAGAAAGGGGCCCTAATCTCTTCCCTGGAGTAACGGCGGATAAAAGACAAATACGTGACTCTCGTTCGGAATGATGGCTGCCTGCTCTCAGCTGCCCTCCCCTCACCCTCCCCACTGCAGCTTCAGTACAGGGTAATCAAGCCCCGCGCACAAGTATCCAGCCAACCTTGCCTGAGGGCTGGAGGTAGAAGCTCCGACTTACCTGGGCGCCGCCCACAGTTCCATGCAGCCGCAGGAGGCACATGAGCCCAGGCAAATGTGGGGCCGAGCAGACTGGGGGATGCACAGGAGCAACACTGGACCCCGTTCGTGGCTGCAACAACCCAGAAACGCTCTCCAGCAGCAGCAGGCGGAGACGCGGGCCCGAGCTCATCGCCGAGAGACCCCCAGCCCCGCCAGGAGCCCCAGCCGGGGAGCCCGCCGAGGGTCCACTCAGAACGGCTGCCGCCATCTTCCCCCAGCTCTGCTGGTGGCGTGGCGCGATGACGCAAACACACCGCGCCCGACGCCTCTAGGTGAGCGGGCGTGGGGAGGGGGCTGCGGTCCTGCGCACTGTGCGAACGGAGGTGGGTTCCGGGACTCAGGCTGGCTGAGAGGGAGCATGCGCGTCGGACGTTAGCTGGGATGGTGTGCTGGAGTGGTCGACTGGGCGGGGCGGGGCGGGAGGGATTAGGGGCGGGGAAAGGGGCGGGGCCATGAGGCTGACCAGTGGTGTCTGCGGGCACGTGGTTTGAACAAACGGCGCGGAAGTCTGAAAGATTTGCCCCAAGTGGAGTCCTGAGACACCTCCACTGTAAGCTTAGTCATACCTAAGGAGCTGAGCCTCCGTGTTAGAATCAGACATTTTAAGCTACATTTCCACCCTGGGAAACGATACAATATACGCGCCCTAGAACGAGTTCGAACATCCAGAGGCATCTAAAGTAAAAATAAAAACCCCCTCTGACGCCCAAGGACCTCCTAGGTAGTACGCTTTCCAAATACTAGTCTGTACACAGACTCGTTAAGTATAGAGTCTATTTGGTAAGAATATGGTATGCGCTTGGCTTTTTTCGTTCAGAGTGGACGTCTTAAACTGCGTAGTAAAAAGGAGATGGATGTGCCATGATTTAATAGCTCGATTGGTGATGGCCACTATTTGTACGTATTGCTTGTTAGATTCAAATCCCAAAATCCTCTTCCAAGTCCGGACATTCAGCTTCCAAAATACACTGAACCAACAGGCTAATGTTCCTCACACCTCTAGGGCCACTCTGATCCAAATGACCCCATGACCGCTCTCTCTCACTTGGCCTCTTACAGTAATTTCTTACAAAGCCCTCTTCATTGCTTTCTGCCTCCCTCTGGTAATGTGTGGTACCTATGGCACAGAGCAGCCAAAAACGTGGCTTTTTCTAACGTAAATCGATTCTTGTTACTCCCACCTTAAGACCTTCTTCAGTGGCTTCCAAATGTGAAGAAAACCAAATCTTACCTCTCTTAGGCCCACTAAAATACACACAATCTAACCCAGATCTACCTCTGACCATAAAACATACCACCACTAGGGCAGGCTCAGTTGACAGGAAGATCCTGCAACTCTAGGTCAACCTGGGCTACGCAGTGAGTTCAAGATCACCCTGCACTCCACAAATTTACTTCCTTATTTACTGAGTTGGTTTTTGTTATTTCCCCTTGAGGGAGTGTCTTACTATTTGTCCTAGGCCAGCCTTGAATTTATGTTGATCCTCCTACTTCAGCCTCCCATGTGCTGGGATTACAGGCATGTGACACCACGCCCAGCTGATGCTGGGCCCTTTTTAATATATTGACCATCTCTGTGTCTAAAATACAAAGTAAAATACAGACTCTGTAAGAGAGTCCTCATCTTCATTATTTTATTCCATCACCAGGACCAATGCTTCCCTACACATAAATAGGCGCTCAGTAAACATTTGTTGAGTTGATTAAATAAATGGCTTTGGATGAAGGAGAATGCCTGTCTTTTGCTGCCATGGTAATTGGTTTTTGTTTGTTTTGTTGCTGATGTTTGTTTTTGCAGTGTCAGAGACTGAACCTAGAATCTTAGCCCTGAGCTACATCTCATCTCTTTTTTAGTTTTTGAGACAGAATCTTGCTAGATTGTCCATCCCAGGCTCAATCTTACAATTAAAAAAAAAAAAAAAACACCTTACACTCCTCCTGCCTCAGCCTCCCAGGGTGCTGGGATCACAGATATAAACCACTACACCTAGCAAGAATGCCTGTCTTTAATATTGATAGGTACTGGCAAAAGCCCTCTAGAAAGATTACATTAATTTATACCTCTGCCAGCTTTAGTATAGTGCTCTGTACCTTATCTACTGTCCCAACACGAACTTTATACTTTTCAATTTGTAATCCAAAAAAAAAATATTTGTAATCCAACTAGTTAAAACTATCTCCTCTTGGGGCTAGGGATTTAGCTCAGTGTCATAAGTGCCTGCCTGGCAAGTGTGAGGTTGTGAGTTCAATTCCTAGTACCACCAAAAAACAAAACAAAACAAAAAAAACTGTCTCCTCTTTTTACCTTCCTTTCCCTGATCCTTGGTGAAATAAAAATCACTATTTTTTTAAAAAAGGGTTAGGGCTATAACTCAGCAGCACAGCACTTGCCTGGTAAGTGCAATGTCATGAGTTTGATTCCCAGTACCAAAATAATAATAATAATAATAATAATAACTTTTCATATAATGTACATTTGTATTTTTTTTGGGGGGGGTACCGGGGATCAAACTCATGATCTCGCACTTGCCAGGCAGGTGCTTATGCCACTAAGCTAAATCCCCAGCCTCTCATTTGTATTTCTTTGTTATTATCTTTGTATGTCCTTTGTCTTTATCTTACTAATTTTTAGGAATTATTTGTAGATATGAGAAATTATTCTCTTGTATGTGTTACCAGGGTTTCTACCAGTTGTCTTTTTTATTATTATCATTATTTTTAAATCTCAGTCTTTTGGAAATTAGGTGTGATTAAGGGTTCAGATTCTGAAGCCAGACTACTGGCTTTGCTTCTTACTAGTTTGCTTCTTACTAGTTGTGTGATTCCACCAATTTCTACCTGTGCCTCCATTTCTTCATCTGTAGAATTAGAATTATCATAAAGGCCTTAACTCCTAAAGTGATGTTAAAGGAATTGATATTGAAAAATGTTTAGAGCAATATTTTACACATTGTAGATACAATAAAATAAAATGTTGGCTATTGTTACTTATAACCCTGGGATTTGATATCTTGGAAGGCCTTCCTTCACACCCAAAATTATTTTATTTTTCTACCTAAAATTTTCTTTTTTGGGTTTTGTGTGTGTGTTTGTTTTTGCTTTTGTTTTGAGACAGGGTCTCACTATGTAGCTCAGGCTAGCCTTGAACTCACTGTGCACTCCAGGCTGGCCTCAAACTCGTGTCAGTTCTCCTGCCCTAGCCTCCTGAGTGCTACTGGTGTGTGCCACCATGCCCTGCCTAAAACTTTCAAAAATGTACTGTATGTATTTAGATCTTTTATTTACTGGATCTCATTTGTTTAATATATGAGATATTCAACCTCTTTCCCCATTAGATAGACAGTTGTCCCAAGCCTATTTAGTGATTATACCGTTCTTTTTCCACTAACTGGACATGCTACCAAGTGGGTCTGTATATGGACTCTGTTCATTGCTCTTTTTAGTTTTATTGTGCTAATAACCCAATTTTAAGTATTGTAACATAATAAATTAAGACCAGTGCCTTCTTGATCAATTAGGTTTTTAGAATTGTCCTGGATATGTTTGAAAGCTGATTCTTCTGATTATGTTTAGAGTCAGAATGATATGGGGGAAATAAATGTAACTCCCAAACTGCCAGATGGCATATACACCAAGTTTACGTCCCCCAAAATCAGAGAATGAATTCTAAGCAACAATGGAGGTTAAGAGTAGGAAATATTTACTGAGAGACAGAGCTCCTGAAAGACAGAAGGCCCGAAAGTGGGCTGCCAATGAGCCCACTCCTCAAAGGAAGTTTTACAATGCAAAATCACAAGGTAGGTCTAATATGGGTTAAAACTATGATCAATCAGTAAGATTGCAAGTAGCTATTTAGGTAATAATGATACAGTAGGTCATCTAGCCAGTGTACATGGAAAGAACAAGGACCTTTTCAGAAGAGATGGGTCAGGAGGTCTGGCCAACCCTGGAGATGTCTGTCTAGACTTTATTGGACCAGGTAACACCAATTATAGAATATTGCTGATCCCCTGGAGACCCATGTAGACCTGGTCATTTTGTCTTTATCTTGAGACCCGTCCTTCAACGGATGCATCTCTAGCTAGTTATAATGTATCTTTATCCTCTGCAGTGACTCCCTTGAAGGCCAACCCCTGTCTGTCTATAACATTTCTACCTAACCTGGCTGTCTACGAAGTGTTCTCCTCCCCATCTTGGTATTTGATGTGGTGTTGAATTTAAAGATAATGTGGGAAAAAATGATATCTTTCTCATGTTGGGTTTTCTCACCCAAGATATTGTGTATCTTTTTCTTCCTGGCCTTCTTGAATATCTTTTTGAAATTGTATTTATATTAGTATCGCCTAATACAGTAGATTTGGCCAAGCATGGTAATTCATGCTCATAATTATTTTCTAAAAAGGGGTGGCTCATCAAGCCACTCCTCTGCTTTAAAAAGCCACTCCTGTTTCCAGGGGTCTGCCTGCAAGAAAGAGCTTCAGTCTCCTGCTTCACCTGGTATACGAAGAAATCCTCGGTAACATGTTCTGGTCCCTCTCAGCCTAATAACCTCGCAGACCCTTCAGAACAGGATGTGCCTTGCCTTCCTTTCTCTTTAGGATGCTTTTTCTCTGCTTCTGTTCATCCTTCATAATCACCGTCCTCGAATTTCCTTTCCTCTACACAGCCTGAACTCCTTCCACCTCCGCGATGGCCTAGTGTTTTTGCTTCCTTTGTCTTCTGAGTCACACCTCCATTACAGCATTCTTGGGCTGTTTATATGTGTCGCCTATATTGGAAGGCAGGGGCCACGGTAATTCATGTGTGTTTGGGCATAGTGAATATATCAGGTAGGATGGATAGATGGACTGATGGATGGATAGAAGAGTGGGGTCTGCTGGGATAGGTGGGTACAGATGAGAAGTCAGAAATTGTAAAAAGAAATGCTGCGAGAATAAAGATAAACACCAGAGGGAGCTAAGATACCACGACAAAACGGGACGTTCTGGGCTGAGCGTGTGAGCGACGCACACTGAAGCAAGCATCACGCAACTGGAACAGCTCACCCACGTGTGCATCCCTCCTCGCCCCCCTTTCCAGACTGTGTTTGAGCTCATTCCACAGCCCCCACCGCCCCCGTTGCCTCCACCGCCACTGAGAAAGCAAACAAAGGGGAGGGGACCCCTGCAGGGCTCTGGATGCCGGGGTGCCAATCCGAAGGCTCTAATCGCCCGCAAGGCGGGCGCCTTCGTTTAAAGAGGCCCAATCAGATTCTTAGGAGTTGCGAGGGGGCGGGGCGATGGGCGGGCAGAGTGCGGCGGAGGGCGGACTCCCCCGGCGAGACCAAGGAAACCGAGGCGGGCGGAGCCAATCACCGCTCTGGTCGGCGGAGAGAGGGCGGGCAGCTCCGGGGCGCGCGCGATCCGGCTGACGCATCTGGCCCGGGTTCTCTAAAACCCGAGGGGAGAGGGAGGAGGAGAAAGAGAGAGGGCGCGCATGCCCAGTGGCGCGGGGAGGAGCAGGCTGCTAGCTGCGGGCCAGAAAGGTGCTTGCGAGCCGCGAACCGGTCGGGCGCGCACGCCATGGGGGAGAAACCCGGGACCAGGTAAGGGAGGTGGGGCCGCGCGGCGGGGCCCGGGCGGCGGCGGCGGCTTGTGGAGGGTGGTAAGCTGGTCCCTGGACAAGGACGAGGAAGCCGGAATCCAGGCTCCGGACCCTTGGGTCCCAAGGGGGCAGCCATCCGGGGCCGCACGCCTAGGTCCTCGAGGATAATGGGGAGGGGTATGAGCCTGAGCCTGGGCCCCTGCAGAAAGGGAGGCCCGAAAGGGATCGCGATCTGGACGTCGGGATTCGCACTGGATGAAGGATTCGGACGACTGGGTTCTCCCGTGCATGCTGCGATGCTAGGGCGGAGGAAAGAGCAGGTGGCTGGCCCCGAAGGGTTGTAGACCGGGAGACTGGATGCTAGAAGGGGATCCTCCCTAGACTAGTGGCCAACCAATGGAAAGCCTCCTGTGCAATACCCTACAGGCATGCAGGCTGCTCCTACCTGTCCCAAGGGCCAAGTGGCTCTTACTTGCAAACTTCAGCCTCATCTTGAGGGGACGGAGTGCATAGCGACCCTCCTGAAATTGGGCCTTATCTGTCTCCTCCGGGGGAAAGGGGGAGGTAGTTTTGTCCACGCACTCCCCGGATGTTTTCTGTGCAATCGAGGTTCCTTCCTTCCACTGAACCCCGAGTTCTCTTTTTTTTTTAACTTTAGCAAAATCCACTTCCTTTTGGGACCCAACCCCCCTCCAAAGGGTCAGGGGTAAGTGAGACTCCCAGGAGAGCAGGAGCAAAGAAAGAAAAGGTTAGGGTTGTATGCTTCAACTCAGAGAGATTCAGCAAACTCATTTACTCTGCAAAACAACAGATCAGCCCTACTACTCCCCACTCCCAAAATACTTAGAATCCAGGTTTCTGAGCATCAGGAGGACCAGTATTGAAGGGAGATGATCAGAGGGAGGTTTGGCATCTGGATTAGGGGTTGAACACCCCAAAGAAAAGGGAAGTCGCTGACTTGAGGGAGGCCCCAGTTTTCCGTTATGTGGTTCAGGGAGGGCAATGGAGTGACCAAAGAGAGACTGCTGACTTGGCATAATTCCCTCCACCCTCATCAAATTCTGGGCCACAGGAAATGGAGAGAATAGCAGGAAGTGCAAAGGGGCATCTGTTTCAGCTTACACACACACACACACACACACACACACACACACACACGCAGAGGGCACCTCCCTAGTCATTCCCATACTCAGCCCTTGGCTGCTCCTCCCTAGGCTGGCAAGAGGTGTCTGGGTTGGGAGCTGAGGCGCAGGTGCCCTGTAGTTGCTCAGAGTTAACCCAGAGCCACAATCCATTTGGCCAACTGATTGTGACTGCTGCAGCCCTCTGCCAGGGCTCCTCAATGGGAGGAAACAGTGGGATAGAGGAAAACCCCAAGTGAGAGGGAGGGGGAGCCTGGACGATGCCATGGCAACCAGCCTCCAAGTTGGGACACAAGGTAGGGTGCCCCCATGTCTGTGTCTACACTCCTTCATTGGTTGAGGACATCTGGGGACCTCCATACCCTTTGCTGTAGACCTCTGGACAGCTTGGCCTTCAAGGAGAAAGGGCCAAGTGAACTTGTTGTAGCAGAAACTTGGATAGTGGGGTTGGAGGAGGGATGGGACACCTGGCAGGATGTCAGTTTCTGGTATCTCGGGACTCTTTCCAGGAACTGCTGGATGGAAAGGAGTAAGATACTGTTTGAAAGGACAGGTCCACAGTGGCCAGGCCATCAGGGTCTCCAGACACTTCCCTAACCGCCCAGCAATGAGTAGAGTCCAGGATTAGATCCTTCCAGCAGGAGGAGTGGGGAGAGGTTAGAAAAACTCCGTCAATCTGACAGATTATGCCATGTACAAAGGTGGACCGTGCAACTGTTTAGTGGTTAGGGACAGAGACTTCAAGCCAAGAACTGCCTTGAGTTCTACCATTTATGCGTTCTCCGTGATCTTAGACCAAATACTTGCCTTCTCCGTGCCTTAGTTTCCTCCCTTGTAAAATAAGGATATTAGGATCTGTTTCGTGGAGTAACTAAGGGTTACTAAGAGTACTGACTGAGATAACACATTGAAATACTTAGGACAGCTGGGCATGGAATAGTCACCCAGTTACCTGTTTACCATCTTCTTCATCGAATGGCTGCCACTGTGCCAGAGGTGCCTGAATGAACAAGACCTCTGAGCTTCAGTCCAAGAAGAAAGACAAATAACACCCTTGGGTGCTGTTATACCACAAAGAAAAGATAAAGAAGATGTGACAGGAACCCAAGAGAACAGGAGGGCCAGAGATCTGGGCTGGGTCTGCACCCTAGGAGTGTTATCTGAGCTGTGCCTTGAGAATGAATAGGCTTTTAAACTGCTAAGTGTGAGGTAGGCACAGCTGGAGGTATAGGGCTGGTCTTTGATAGCACCTATGATGGAAACCATTTGAGGGGCAAAGGCCGAGGCTGTTGGTCTCCCATACACCCCAGGTGGCACTGGAACTGGAGGTCAGAAAGCTGGTTAGGTCTGACCCCAGTCCTGCCACAGCCTGCCCATTTTAAGTTCCCTCTGGGAAGATCCCTGATGGATCTTGGGTCCGCCAGCGGCCATTCCCGTGGAAAGATTCATGAGGGTGACTTAAAGACAAGAGAAGCCTTGGACTTTCTGGAAAGAAGGGGAGAGGGGAGAGCTGGGCAGAGGCTCCAGCCAGAGACCCAGGGTGAGCTCTGCCCTCAGGCTGGGGTGGGTAAGCTCCTGGAGGGGCAGTCCCTACTGAGTGTGAGAGACCTGTGAATGAGCTTTTCCTTTCTGTTTTATTAGGGTCTTCAAGAAATCAAGCCCTAACTGCAAGGTGAGTGGCCTGCACGCTTACCCTTTAGCCCTCCATGGGCCCTACCAAACCCAGCCTGCCCCTAACCATCTCCAACCCCTAGCTCCCCACTTCCTGTGACAGCTAAGCGCTGACTTCCTTCCCTCCTGAAGCCCCTTGCCACAAAGGGTGCTGTCAGCCGGAGCCAGCCACAGGGCTGGGTGGGGCAGGCCTGAGTCCCTCAGACAGACACAAACCCTGTGCCCAGCATATAAACCTCTTAGGATGCAGCTGGGAAAGTTAACAGCCCCTCAGGCCTGGCCTGTTTATCCCAGAGCCCCCTGAGGGACCCAGTGAAGGGAGCAGCTGCTCTCTGATCAGTTCCAACAGGTGAGTCCTCCCTGAGGGGACAGACACACACCCCTACCTGCCTGGGGGACAGAAGTGGGAAGAGAGAGATGCAGGAACCACCTAGAGCTTGGCTGGGTGTCCGGGAAACCCTGCCGCCCACAGCTGACAGCGGGGAAACAGCCCTCCCTGATGGCCCAGCTGGGGAGAGGTTCGGCCCCTTCCAGGGCTCTGACCCTTGTCATTGTCCTCCCCAATGTCCTCCATGACCCCGTGACTTCCTCAGCTCACCGTGTACCTGGGCAAGCGGGACTTTGTAGATCACCTGGACAAAGTGGATCCTGTAGGTAAGTGTGCCCAGAAATGGAAGCTCATCCCCCAAGAAGCAACAGGCCTGAGTGTGGTACACACCAGTAATCCTGGCAATCGTGACACCCAGGTAGGAGGATCACAGTGTTCAGCCCAGCTGGACCATGTAGTGAGACTCTGTCTCGTAAAAAAAGAAATAAAAAAAAAGCTGGGGATATAGTTTAGTATGAAGGCCCTGGGTCTGATCTCCTGGACCTCAAAAATAGAGGAAAAGAGGGATCTGGGCCCAGGCAGAGGAAACAGGCCTGTACATCTCTTACCTAGATGGAGTGGTGCTTGTGGATCCTGACTACTTGAAGGACCGGAAAGGTACTGACCCCAAGTTCCAGGCCCTTAGGGAAGATGGGAGGAGTAGAGTCAACGGGCTGGCACTAGAGGAGCACCCCGAAGAGATGAGGGGATGAGGTGGAAGCCCGGAGTAGGATTCAGGAGAAGTTGGCGGCTGAAGGAGCTGCGGCTGCCTAGTACTGGAGGCGATGAGGAAGGGGTGCTCCTGACTCCTCCGCCTCGCCCTCCCTTCCAGTGTTTGTAACCCTCACCTGCGCCTTTCGCTACGGCCGTGAAGACCTGGATGTGCTGGGCTTGTCCTTCCGCAAAGACCTGTTCATCGCCACCTACCAGGCCTTCCCCCCTGTGCCCAACCCGCCCCGGCCTCTCACCCGCCTCCAGGACCGGCTGCTGAGGAAGCTGGGCCAGCATGCCCACCCCTTTTTTTTCACAGTGAGGATGCCCCCGACCTTCTGCAGGGGAAGGGTCTGGGACCTGCAGGGGGCGGGGGGCACCCGGTACAGGCCGATCGGGAACCTGCGTTCAGGAAGCCCCGGCTCAGCCTCCTCCCTGGGGCCCTTTCGTCTTCCTCTCTACCCCTCAGGTGCCCTTTCTTAAGCTTCTCGAGTTGGGAGGAAGGCTGGAGGTTTCTAGGAGGACTGAAACCTCCCTTTTCCTTTGCCACAGATACCCCAGAATTTGCCCTGTTCTGTCACACTGCAGCCAGGACCGGAGGACACGGGGAAGGTACTAGAGGGGGGCTTCAAGGGTGGTGTGTGGGCAGAATAGGTCCCTGCCCTAAGAACTGAGGGTAACTGCAGGAGCGGGCTGAGAACAGGGAAATGTCTGTGTGTAACGCCCCCCCACCTGGCACCCACACCTACGGCCGTGGGATGCATGGTGGCCACTGCACGTGTGACACTGCCTCCTGCTCTCTTGTCCCACATGCACCTGGGCACGGGGCTGCCCAATGCAACCATTAATAAGCTTCTGCCAGCTGCCAGCTGCCAGCTGCAGAGAGGCAGCGGGGGAGACAGTCCCTTTGTCCATTACACCACTATGGGGCAAGATTTCCTGAACGGGAAGAGGAAAGTGAGGGGAAGGAAGAGGGGGTGGAGGTGATGGCGGAAGCCCTCGCTAAGACGTGGCCTTTCCTCCCCTTCTCGAGGCCTGCGGGGTAGACTTTGAGATTCGAGCTTTCTGTGCCAAATCACTAGAAGAGAAAAGCCACAAAAGGTGAGGGGGGCAGCCCCCTGCTGGCTTTTTGGAGGCCCAGGCCCCTGTGGGAGGTGGGAGCTGGGCTCTGGGTGTTGGGGACTGACCCTGCCCTGCAACCCCGCCCCAGGAACTCTGTGAGACTGGTGATCCGAAAGGTGCAGTTTGCCCCAGAGAAACCTGGCCCCCAGCCCTCAGCAGAAACCACACGCCACTTCCTCATGTCTGACCGGTTGCTGCACCTTGAGGCCTCCCTGGACAAGGAGGTGAGCCGAGAGGATGACAGAGGTGCCCTCCAAGGCAGGCCAGACCTGGGGGTGTGGAAGCCACAGACAGCTGATGTTTTCAGGGCTGCCTCCGCTGGACGTGGAGTTGCTGTGGGCTTGGCTGCAGGGATGGGGTGGGGGGCAGAGCCACGCGTCTGGCAGGGAGCTAGTAAAGATACATAATTCACATGGTGACCCTCCCTTTGAAAGCTGTATTACCATGGGGAGCCCCTCAGTGTCAACGTCCATGTCACCAACAACTCCTCCAAGACCGTGAAGAAGATCAGAGTCTCTGGTAGGAGGTGGGGGTGGAAGGGGCTCTTGGGGGAGGGAGGTCCTGCGCAAGTGGCTTCCGCTGCGGTGACAGCCCAGGTCACGTCCCAGCATGGGAGACCTCCCAGAATGCAGGGCATCCAGGCTGCCGCAGCGGGGTGCACCAGCCCTAGTGTTTACTGCAGGGAGCGCTGCGCCAAGGTGGGAGGTGCAGGGGTACGGGGAGGATGGGACAGAGCCAAGAGGGATGGGCTTGTACTGTGGTGGAGTGTGGCGAGGTGATAGTCTGCACTCCATCCAGCGCTGCTCGGCCCTGCCCCACAGTGAGACAATATGCAGACATCTGCCTCTTCAGCACGGCCCAGTACAAGTGTCCAGTGGCCCAGCTCGAACAAGAGTAAGTATCGACACGGGCCTGGACCCCCATATGAGGAGCTCAGAATAGGCCCCGGAAAGTAAGAAGTAGCAGCCAGAGTCAGCCGCGCCATCTCACCAAGACAGCATTCCTGCTCCTGCAGGCGGCTCCAAGCACTTGATTTTCTTGAGCAGCTTGAACCTGTCCCCCTGTAACTTGTGCCCAAAACAGCAGCAAGGGGCGAGGTAGTGTTTGGGGATGGCAGGCTGCCCTGTCACCCAGTCGGCCCCTCCAAGAGTGTGTCCCTTGGTCCCCGTCTCCCAGTGACCAGGTGTCGCCCAGTTCCACGTTCTGTAAAGTGTACACCATCACCCCACTGCTCAGCGACAACCGGGAGAAGCGCGGCCTTGCTCTGGACGGGAAACTCAAACACGAGGACACCAACCTGGCTTCCAGCACCATGTGAGGGCAGGGCTGGGGACCCGGGGGGGAGACAGACTTCTGTTGAGGGCCAACCGTGTGCCAGCTTCTGTCCTAGGTGCCAGAGAGGTATTAGTGAACAAAAGAGGCCTCCCAAGAACCCTCACTCTCTAGGGGAGGAAGAGAGCAGGTGATCATGAAAGGCTAAATATTTGGCGACTACGGGAGAGATGTTAAGGAGGAAAAGCCACCCGAGACCAGCCTGCGGATTTTCAGATGGAGCTGTCAGGGAACCAGAGGGAGAGGCAGTGTAAATAGGGAGGGAAAGGGTTTCATCAGAACAGTGAGGTGCCACTGTGCCCTTGGGCAGGAGCAGCCCCAGCGGTGAGAGTCACGAAGGGCTGGCCCTTGTCTCGGCTGGTGCCAGGGCACTTGGCACACACTGCCACCACACGCACAGTAAGCTGGAACCGCAGGAGAGTGGGAGGAGGTAAGGAGAGCAACACACGCAGGGCTGTCAGTCAGGCGAGCTGCTCAGGCAGGTTCTGCCTACTGGACACCCTGATGTGGTTCACGGCCATGGCTGCTCAGCTGATGCCGCTGGAGCCGAAGGCTGGTGTGAGTTTGGAGCTCTACCCTGTACCCTGACGAGAACCCTGGGCAGGCTAGGTGACCGCCGGGCGGGGCGATGGACCCTGACCCAGCTCCCCTCAATCTCCGACTGCAGCGTGAAAGAGGGGGCCAACAAGGAGGTGCTAGGAATCCTGGTGTCCTACAGGGTCAAGGTGAAGCTGGTGGTGTCCCGAGGCGGGTGAGTGCTGTGGGCGCTTGGTGGGGGTCCAGGGGTTCTCGGGCTCTGCCTCATCACCGCTGTGCTCTTCACGGGGCCTCTCCCCTCCCCAGGGATGTCTCCGTGGAGCTGCCTTTTGTTCTGATGCATCCCAAGCCCCATGACCACATCCCCCTTCCCAGACCGCAGACAGGTAAGCACCGAAACCCCAAGCCCCTGCAGGGAGGGCCTGGGGAAGACGCTCCTCCTAGCACCCACCCTCCCTTCCCTCTCCTCCCACAGCCGCTCCAGAAACGGATGTCCCTGTGGATACCAACCTCATTGAGTTTGACACCAAGTAAGGAACCCATTCCCTCCCCTTCCTGCTTTGACCCTCTAGATTCCCATGACATTCAAATCTGCTCTCATACCTCCTGGTTCTGTTTTGTTTTCTTTTCGGCACGGAGGGTAATGTATCCAACCGGACGACTTAGCTTATGAGGCTATCACTGCTCCTTCTTTGTCCCTGGGCAGGGTGAGGTGCTCTGGGCAGTCGGAAGGGACAGAAACCCTCACATCATCCCTTCTTTCCACCTTCAAGCTATGCCACAGATGACGACATTGTGTTCGAAGACTTTGCCCGGCTTCGGCTGAAGGGGATGAAGGACGATGACTACGATGACCATTTCTGCTAGAAAGCAGGGCTGGAGACGGAGAGGACGTGCTTGGGGAGTAGGGGCAGGACCGAGGTCCCCACGTTGTCGGGGGAAGGCCGGCTCCCCAGCCTCTTCCTTCCCCGCCGCCTGGCAGCCACCCCTTCACTCCGCTTCCTCCTCCCCCACCAGCGAGACGCGCACTGGACCCTCTGCTTGTTGGAAGTGGGCATTAACCTCGACTACAGCTGAGCCTGCCCGGCCCTCGGGGTAGCGAGCTGTGTTCATTCAGTCTTTTGGAAGGAGACACTGAAAATGAGCCGTGATGACAGGGAACGGGGGAGAAATCGCCACAGTCAGCCTCCCGCCGAGACACTCCTTAGCCTCGCGTCCTTGAGAGGACACCCTGTGGGGGCAAAGCCATTTCTTTCTGAGCATAAAGAAGAAAATAAACCTTTTTAATAGGCATGTGTGCGTGTTTCCTCGGTAGCATGGACAACGCTTTTCTGCACCCACAAGGCACATGACACACAGGTTATCATCATCGCCTTTTTTAAATTGAATTTAATTTTTTGTGTGTGGTGCCAATGATTGAACCTAGGGCTTTGTGTGCACAAGGCGAGAACTCTCCCGCATCCCCGCCCACTCACACAGGCCATCAGTAACTGTTTACTAAATGACTAGTGTGCCCGTGTTCCAGGGTAAACACCCAAACTTGATTCCATCAGTCCACATCAGTGGTACAGCTTGGTAAAGCCATAAAGCAAACTTAGTCATTTACAAGAAAAATAATAACTGACTTCTCTGCAGTCTAGATGCTCCGGGGAGCTGGTAAGCCATGCTCTTTCCTGTTGTGGCTGGTAAGACACGACCACATTGTAACATGTTGTGACCAGATGGGGTTTATTCCACTGTGCTCGATGGTTGCTTGAGCAGCCCGCTTCTGGCTCAGTGGGACCGCATCTGCATGCCTCGCCAGCCAGAGGCCACACGAGGGACGTCGTCACGGTGTCAGGACTTCCTTCCTAACACAAGCTGCGGCTCCCGGTAGCAACACCTCAGGTCCTACCCACGAGTGCGTCTCAGTGCTGCTCTGGGAACACGCATCAGGAAGGCCCAGCCCGTGCCGGGGCATCGAGCACTCAGACGCTCCTCCCCTCCGCCACCCACGGCTACTCCGGCAGCTTCCCTTCACCTTTAAGCCTCCTTTACCCACTCTTTTTCCCTCCATTCGTCCTTGATTTGAGTTCTTACTATGTACTAGATGTAGGACAGGGACATAGCAGTAGAACCAAAATGAACAAAATTATCCTCTCATTCTAAGGTCTGTCCCAAGGAGAAGTGTAAGTACTGTGACTGGATTAGGGGGGCACGGGGTGACCCCAGGAGGATGTAACCTTTAAGCAGAGAACTGACCAATGGAGATGTAGGAGATCACGAGTAAGGACGGGCCTCCTGGCTCACAGCAACCCCCTGTGTTCAGGCTAGAAGGGACAGTGCCTTTGGGGACAGAGACCCGGACTGGGTCAGATAGCCCGTGGTCCTGAAGAGCTAGTGAGCAGACAGGGAGCCCACGTAGGCTCCCAGCCCCGGTTCACCAAACCACTACTTATCCACAGGCTTCAGTGCTGCCAGAGTGCCCCTGACCTCCAGGAGCAGCTTCCTCTGCCCATTCTGCATTTGTCATTTACCCCCTATAATCCAGCCCTCGAGCCAGGTATGTAACACATATCTGTCCTCCAGCAATCAGGAGGCTGCGCAGGAAGGTCCGACGAATTCAGTGCTCACCTGGGCTACACAGGGAATTCAAGGCCAGCCTGAACTACCTAACAAGACCCCAGTCAGTCAGCCGTTCCAAGGCTCCAGCACCCCAGCCTCCCATGACCTCAAGCCCATGGAACTTAAACTTCAAATGAATTTGAAACCACCTGGAGGTACAATAAAGACCCAGTTTCTGAGTCGGAGGTTCCATAAAGCACTGGTGGACCTGGATACTCAATACATATCCTTGGGAGAGCAATGCCTTTGCAAAGAAACTTTGGATGTCTTCTACGCATTTTTAGAAGGGAATACATGCACATGGTTTCTTTAAAAACCCAAACAATAAAACAATGAAAAGAAGGTCCCTGGCTGGGGCTTTAGCTCAGTGGCCTAAGTGCCTGCTTGGCAAGCATGAGGTCTTGAGTTTGATCCCCAATACCAAAAAAAAAAAAAAGAAAGAAAGAAAAAAAGGCCCCTTCTGCCCCGTTCTCCCCTTTCATTTCCTTCTCCCAGAGACACGCACTATCACCCGTGCCTTGCTAACCTTCCTAACAACCGTCATCCTCCCCACTCCCCACGTGCAGGGCTACACATTCACTCCTTTACCTTAAATACACAAGACAGCATATCATGAGCTCCTCTACACTTTTCAATTTAATGAGGTATCTAGAGGTACCCAGCCATGGTGTTGCATGACTGACCTCCCAGCACTCAGGAGGCTGAGGCAGCGGGAGCACCGTGAGCTGGCGGCCAGCCTGGACTGTGTAGTGAGTTCAAGGCCAGCCTGGACTACGAACCAAGACCCTGGAAAAACAGCAGTGTCCATAAGAGCATTCACGTAGGTCCACTTTGATTCCGTTTTTTTCTTTCTTGGTACTGGGGACTGAACCTAGGCCACCTTATGTATGATAGGCAAGCACTCTACCACTGAGCTACATCCATATTTCTTTGAAAATGTTTATTTCTACCGGCGCTGATAACAATTTTTAAATTGTTTCTCACTTTATATTATGAGCTAACTTGCCAAGCTGACCGTGGGTTTTCAGTCCTCTGGCCCCAGCCTCCCAGTACCTGGAGTTACATGGGTTTGTGTCAGCTCAGCTCCAGTCCATTCTTCTAAAACACATCTCTTCTCTGCCTTGAACCATTTACTCTCCTTCTGAAGGGCATATTAATGTCTAATTCAGCACTATAGTAACTATAGTAACAGCACTGTAGTAACTACCCTTGAACACACATCTGTTTGCCTGTGTGGAGAGTGGCTACAGGATAAATTCCTCAAAGCAGCATTGCTGGTTCAGAGGTGAGCATCTTTTTGATCACTATGAATGTAACCAGTGAAATCCAAGTATTTTCATTTTGTTTTTCCCGAGGGAGCATGGAGGGTTGAAACAAAGTCTCACTCTGTAGCTCACAGTCTTACTTTGTAGCTCAAACTGGTCTTGAACTCAGTTATGTAACTCAGGCTGACTCAAGTTTGCCGCAACCCTCCTATCTCAGCCTCCCGAGTGATGGGTTTACAATTACCCACATTTACTCAGCATTTCTTAGCACCAAGTATGCACATGACTGTACTCCCAGCGAAGAACTGCAAATTCAAGTCCAGCTTATTTGAGGACTTTGTGAGACTCTGTCTCAAAAATGGCTGGAGATACAGTTCAGTGCAAAGGCCTTGGGTTCAGGCTCCAGTACCAAAAAAAGTAAGAAAGAAAAGAAAAGGGAAAAACTTTCTTTCATTATAAGCAAAGACAAACCCACTCTATTGACTAAGCCGATGCTCTTTTTGCTCATAATTTTTATTAGTATGTTTGCGTTACATAATAACTACATTCACTGTGGGCAGCTGACACACCCACATGACAGGTCTCAGTTCTTTTTCCCTTCTCTTCCCTTCCCCACCTTCCTACTCCACCTCCTGGTCCCCTTTCTATTTGCAAAAGATCTGTCTCCCTGATGCCCACTGTCTTTCATTCGCTTTTTATTGGTACACTGGATTTCTCACATAAGAGAGACTACACCATATTTATATGACTTCAGTATAATTTTTGTTAACTTTGTGTTACTGGGGATTGAACTCGGGGCCTTCACACTGAGCTGTATCCCCAGCACGCACTTATTTTTGAAACAGGGTCATGCGAGGTCAATACACTGACCAGGCTGGCCTCAAACCTGCAATCCTGCTACCTCCGCCTCTCAGCGTTCTGGGAAGCAGGCATGCATCACCACCCCTGGCTCAACGGACCCGTGAGGGCTCCTCATGTATGAGATTAGCCCACTATGGTACACTGTGAAAATCAGCATTCTTCCCCGGTCGTCATATTTTTATATTTGTTAGTACAAGTTATTTTAAAGTACACAATTCAACAGCATTTAATAGGGAGCTGGAGACACAGCTCAGTGGGGCAGCACCTGCATGGCAAGCACGAGGTCCTGAGTTCAATTCCCGGTGCCCACAGGCAAGCACACAAAAACATCACTTAGGGGCTGGGGATTTAGCTCAGCAGCATAAGCACCTGCCTTGCAAGCAGGCAGTCGTGAGTTCGATCCCCGGTATCGATAAAAAGGAAAAAGACAAAAAAAAAAATCACTTAATACACTTACAGTGTAGCAGAACCATCATCTTTTTTTTTTTTTTCTTTTTCATTTTTATCGGTACCGGGAATCGAACTCACGACTGCCTGCTTGCAAGGCAGGCGCTTATGCCGCTGAGCTAAATCCCCAGCCCCAGAACCATCATCTTTATCAAGTTCCAAAGCATCTTGTTTCTAGTTTGTGGGAGACAACCCCAGTGACTCCCCTGAATGCAAAGCAGTTACTGCAGCTCTGACTATTTGGAGACATTTCCTTATCCTGCTATGTACAGAGCGGGCTGTGGTATTTCCTCCTCTCTTCAATTGACTCTAAGCATTGCAAACAAGGTGCTGGTATGTAATCTCTAAAGTCAACAGACAGTCCTGTATCCTCCATAGTGTTCTCCTTGTAAAGAATAGGAACACAGCGGGATGTTAGAGCCATCAGCTCCAGGAATGTCACCCGGGTGGGAGCCTCAAGGTAAAGAGGCTGCGTCCCCAGGGCACAAGAGTCTGCATATCAGAAACTGAAGCCACAGCCTCCCAAAACAACCCAGTCGCTACCTTAATTAGGGTTATGTGAATTGATCCTCCTGCATGTCTTTATCTCTGCAGTTTACAGAGGTGCCCTTCTCCCTCCCGGCCACCAGCTCACATTACTCAGGAATCCCGCCATCCTCCCTGTCACTCACCCCTGAGCCACCCACTTCGTCCCCAGATAATAAATCCAGGGAGAGGCCTAGGGTCAAGGCCTGTGCCCGCACACCCCCATGGGGACTGGAGTTAGGACGCCTCAGCTGCCTTTAATTTGGGACATTGGAGGTGGTAGATTGCAATTGACTTGCTGGGATTCCAATACGTCTCAACGGGATTACAAATCTAACTTTCTGGACTGTGGGGAACCTGGGAGCAGGATTACAATACTGGCTGACTGCACACCGTGTGTGGGGTACAGTCCTAGCGTCTTTGATGAAGCATGCACTTTTAACTCTTGAGGCCAGCCTTTCCGACCTCGCAGTGTTTTATCACAGAGCGAGTTCTCGCCCGCTTCCTCACACTGACACTTCCTTCTCCCGCGTCTGCACTCAGGATCTCAGAAGCACACTCATTCCTCCTTTCACAATACCTGCCCTCCAG